GATCATTTATGTATACATTTGTCTATATCTATCTCGATTCGTTTTGGCTGTTACAAACAACCGTTATGTGAACAAAATTAATATACCCTTGTGCACAAGTGCGCTCGGGTATAAAAATAACGGAAACTAAAAATGTTGCCAAACTTTGGATACTTGTCTTTTGTTAATATTTTTTTTTTATAAAAGTGTTACTTAACCCATAAAACACAGCACGTAAATCAAAGTTGCATACGTACAATGTACAGAATTTATAAAAATTTTCTACTTAAAAAAAATTGATTATACATTTTTTAAACTATTTATCAGAGTTTTTGGAAACAACGCATGAACGAAACTTATTTTAATATGGGAAAAGCAACACCCTAGGCAAAAAAAAATTCTAAATATCAGCCACATGAAACTCGTGCATTATTATACTAAAACTGAATGAGCTACTTCATACCCATAATTTTTCTAAAGGTTTAAAAAATTTTGTATCTGAGCAATTTTCTAAAGTTTGCAATTTTTTGTTAATTCTGTACAAAGTTCATATGAAATTTTCATTTATGTGCTGTTTTTGTGGTGCGTTACACTTTTATGTGGTGCGTTACACTTTTATAAAAAAAAAAATATATTAAACAAAAGAAAAATATCCAAAACTTGTCAAGGTTTTTTTGTTTCCGTTATTTTTTCCACCACTGTATGTAAGATGTCCTTAAAGTCATACCTTTAGCGATTCGCTGAGCTTCTCACACAATGTTTGCATTTTAGTGTATTTAGATACAAGGAAACAAATGTAAACATTGTATACGCACTTTTGCCCATAGCCCGCATGCTCTTTGTCAGCTGGCGGCTCACTTTCCCTAACCTACATTTCTGTTCCATTTTCGCTGCCACCGCTGCCTTCTTGCCACCTCAAAGTCTCGTTTGTGGTACCTTTAAGTGCTACTCGCTTTAGCTTTTTCACTTTGCCATTCACCGTCATTATTACCGTTATTATCTTGCCACTGAAGCTTCTGACATTTTCGTTTTTTTATTGTTTTTTTCTGTTTTAGTGTTTAGTGTTAGGAAATGTGGCCCCAAGTGCACTTAAGCAGACTCGCCCACAATGGGGTCCTTCAGCTACTTGGCCAACTCTTTTAACATTTTCTTTGCTTTAAATTTTAGCATACAACAACGTTTTTAGTGATTTAATATGTTTTCGTATGTATGCATATGGATATTACATTAGATTGGTCAAGTTCTTGTTTATGAGAAACCTCAAGAAGAATATCGGATCATCAGATCTGCACCGTTCGTTCGATTTTCAAAAATGGGATTTCAAATGAAAATGAAAGGACGTGGGGCTATAGATGGGCGGTACGGTTTTATTTTTTCAAAAAGGGTTGCCATGTCTAAAAAAAATTTAATTTAAGTTATATGAAATAAAAATCAACTATTCCTATATGAGCATCAGTCGAAATGGTTTTTAAAGTTCTTATTTACAAACTAAATGTGTGAGCATTGCCACCTGTTTAAAATATTAATCTCGATTTGGTCTAAGGGAATTAGGTAGGAGAAATATGTATCACCATATGGGTGCCAAACGAACGCGGTTTCAGGAGGTAGTCGTTTGAAAATATTTTGAAGGGGGTTGCCACCTGCTTGAAGTGTCGAATTTAGTTAACTTATATGAAATATCAAAATATGGATAGCTAAAAAAATACTGCTTTGAAAGCTTTGGTTTGAAAACTAAGAGGTGTGCAAAGAGGGTTGCCACCTGTTTAAAAGTTTAAATTGAAAATATTTAATAGTTCAGTGAATTATTAAAATATGCATATCAATGGAAGGAGGTTTGCAAATTTTTTATTTCTGAACTATATTTAGCGGGATTGCCACATGTTTAAAAAATTAAATTCAACTGAATTCATCAGTTTTGAAAATTTATATCGCAATGCCAGACTAACGAAAATTAAAAGGTTTTAGCTTCAAATTACTTTTGAAGAGAGCTGCCACCTGTTTAAAAGGTCTAAGTCAATTAACTAATACAAACATTTTGTGAAATGTCAAAATACGGGAGTCAAGCGAATGAATGTTAAGAAATCATTAGTTTTAACATTTGGAATATTTGAGGAGAGTTGCCAAGCGTTTGAAGAGTTACATTCAAATTATTTAACAAGTTGTATCTATTGTTAAAATTTGGGTCTCAATCCAATGACTTGACATGTGCTCTAAGAAGTAATTATGAAATATGGTAAAAATTTGATAATTGCCACGCCCTTCCATCTAGTGGGCGAACCATTTATATTTTAACCGATTTCGCTGAAATTTAGTTTGTTTTATGTGTATAAAGATTACATAAGTGTAAATACACTCCATTCTCCAAGTTTCGGGGTGATTTTTCCATTATTTAAATAATTCTTTGCGCCAAATTATGCAAAAATAGAGAGAAAATCGAAATATTAAGAATATCGAAAATTACATATATTTACATAGTCGCGCAAAAATATCCAATTTTATGCTCGGACGCTACATGAACTTCTTCCAAAAATAGACCTGACGAATTAATACTCTTATTTTTTTGCTACACATTTCCTTGTAAATTTGTTGATAAAAAAGTAAAATACCAACAAATAAATGATAAATACCTACACGTTAATGACACTGGATCATAAATTTTAGTTTGGTTTTTGTTCTCCAGACGCCACTATCCAATTTCTGCGCGGTGATTCCGAAAATCGGGTTTATTTGTTTTTCTATGGAAACGTTTTCGAGATATCTGCAATTAACTGCCATTCAGCTTAAAGCAAAAATTGGTTCCTTTTATTCACGTATATCTTAAAAGTCTTAATATAAAATACGGCAAATGTAAGCTAATGAAGTTCTCCATGCACCATATATACATAACTTTCCGATAGGACTGATAGTTTCTGAAAAATTAATTGATCATTACAGTTTTTTTTTTCACGTTTTAATGAAAAAATTAAAAAATCAAAGTTTCACAGAAGAAAAAATTAAATTAAATTACAGGTTCTGTGCCAAATTTTTGCATTTGTACTAAAGCCCGTTCTGTTACAAAAAAAAAAATCAAATTACTAATGAAGAAAATCGATGGATTAATAAGAAATAAAGAGTGGTCAAATAAAAATGCGGAAAGATTTTTTTTTTATGAAAAATGAGCAGGAAAGAGAGTTACTCATACGGCACGTACACCTGAGTAACACGCTTTTCTACTCATACTTCATACAAAAAATGTTCGCGCATAATCATTTTACCACTCATTATTTCTTATTTATCCACCGATTTTCCTAATTAGTAACTTGATTTTTATTTTTTTTTTTGTAACAGAACAGGCTTCAGTACAAATGCAATTGACACAGAACCCGTTATTATTTGAATTTTTCTGCCGTTAAAGTTTGATTTTTTTTCGTTTTTTCATTAAAAATAAAAAAAACTGCAATGATTAATTAATAATAATTTTATTATTATTAATATTAATATTAATTTAATTATTATTAATTTAAATATTGCTATTGATATTAATTAATAATAAAAAAAAAAATTAACTAGATTTTCGGAATCACCGTTCAATTCTACATAGGAATTGGATAGTGGCATCCATAGAGCATTTTTGCTGTAAACCAGTGTAATCCATGACACTTAAAGAATTGATTGCAATTGGAAAAAAATCACTTTCTTCCATGTAATCACCGCCAAAGGCGCCTAAACTGTTGTTTAGTCGATATTGCACCGATTTACATAAGTATTTCTTAGGAAAAGTGATTTTTGTACTTGTGGCTTCCACTATGCCCTTTCGAAGCGCAACAAATTTGTTTTTATCAACCGTGACCATGACTTTTTTCCACCTCCCTCTATATAGTCGAAGCACTGGGCTTTTTATGATCCAATGTTCTGCTAAAAACTTTATAGATGCAAATTTTGTATTGATATGTCATCGGATTTTCTGAAAACAGTTTTCTCATTTCCACCATATCGTTTCGTCCTTATGTACTGTGTATCTGCTTCATCCCGTTAACACCTAAATCCCATATTTTTACATTTGCCTGAATTCGTAAACCCGGTAGGGGTAGCCATTCACGCATGTTTGTGTACATAAGTATGTGCAAACATTTGTATTTTTGAGTAGGATTCACATCTGCAACACACCTTTCACCTCTTTTTCGCCATGTATGTAAAACTACATTCGTCCATACGTAAAGGTAAGGTCGTATGTGTGTAGCGCCTTGTTACACCTGATACTAAGTACCACAACAAAAACAATAACCAAACTTCTAGCGAGAAAACCACACTCGCTTTCCTTATGGGAATTCCTGCAATCGATATTTTTAACGCAACGCCCAGAAGCGTGGCAGCGAGAACGATGTTGGCACATATTCTAACAGTAACCCGAATGTGGTTGCCTCTAATCGGAATTCTAACCGCAAATAAATGGGTTTGTGGAGCATTTTAAATTTCGCAGAGGAATGAGTAATACGCAAGAAAATGCGAAATACGCAAGAAATTTTATTTTTTGTAATACCTTTCAGCCCAGGGTGTACGTGTGTGGATTTCGACATATGTATGCACAAGTAAATGTAAGGATTTGAGAATAACTTATACAAATCTTTATTTTAAGTACATTTATATATCTACGCCGCACATAAGGCAAAAGTGACAATTTAGTTGGACAAAAATTGAAAATGGCGATTATAAATATCTAATATCTATAAAAAAATAAGTAAAATAGTGTTACTTATAAAGCAACGTTTTGCATTATGATTTATTTTGGAACGAATTTCCGTCATCCCTTGTCAAGTTTGGTTTGCAGACATTATGTTACTAGAGTACCCGCAACTTGATGAATGCATATCGTGCGCACAGGCATCTCAATCAAGTCATTCGCGGCTGCCCAGTATTAATTATAGTATTCGTGGATGTAACTTTTCAAAATTAAGTTTATTTTAAAGAAGAACATTGTACAAGAAAGTGTTTAATGTTTATTTTTTCATTAGTTTACGCGTAACAATTTAAAAATTTTAGTTATTTAAAAAAATTCTATAAAGTTAAAGTTAATAAAAAAGTCCCCAGGAGTAACCTCATTTGATTTTTATAAACATATTTTATGATTTGTTTAGAAAGCCCTCACAAAAATTAACTTGTCGCTTTAGGAGTAATTTTATTTCGTTTACAGCTACCAAATAATCTATTCGCATCAGCTGATTGACAAATAAAAAATATAAATATACAAAAGCGAAACATGAATCTCCAAAGTTGCTACGAAATTCCCATGTTGTCCAAAGTCAACCTGTACAATATTTCTCTGTTACGGTTATTTATTTCATGTAAATATCAAAATGTAAATATGATATTTCATATCAAAGTGGACAAAACAATTCATCAAAGGGGTCGGTAAATTTATATTTTTATTAATGCTGTTATTTTTGCTTAAATAGTTGTAACCCATCATATTATGTTTATTTCCCACACCCCGAATCAATTTCATTAGTTGATTATTTTTGCCCATATATATATATATATATCGTCACTTAGGCCTTGCGTACGCCGCAACAATTTAAAAGGTCTGGATAGGCCAGTAAAATTGGTTTGCAATCGAAAAATATAATTGATATTGCAAACCAGTTTCGAATGCAAACAAAACTGATCGCTTTTATTTTGATTGTGAATATTACAATTCACAATCATATAGAAGATTTTGATTGTAATCAATATGATTATAAGAAATTTCGATTTCAATCAATTTTGTTTGTATTATTTTGCTAAAAGTACAACAAAACGTGAATCATTCCTTTACTTACCAAAAATAAAATATAGCAATAGCAATTACACTTTAGGATTAAATCACTGATTTTATTTCGATCCAATTGATTGCAGGCTAAAGTGCTTGAAATCAAATTGATTGCAATCAGAAATTTTTACAATATAATTTATTGCAATCAATTTCTTGTAAGGACCACATCCTTAACCAATTGCTCCCCTTTAGAAGTATATGTAAGATGGATGATTGGTGCATTCCTCTCTGGTTCCTTACTGTTAAGCTTTCACAACAACGCCGTACTTGACCCTATCGTAAATTTACAGGCAGATACAATCCAGTCACGGGAAGAGTAGCGTTGGAGATTTTGTTTGTGCTTCCTAGTTAATAATGCCACATTCGCCTTACTGGAATTCATATCAAAGCCGCTTTTAACCGTCCATCATATAGGGTGTCCCGAAATCGATTCGTAATCATAAATTCCACGTATGTATCTTGGGTAGGCACTTATCCGACGGCCACTCTAGCACCGCGTTTGATTTCTTTACATCCACTATACCGAGCGGAGGTACCGCCTTGCAGGCTGACTCTGCTCAATTCACGCTGCAAGAAGGCGCTGCCGTAAACAAGGACAACAGTTCTATCGCTATCCAATTTATGTTCAATTGAATGCAGACAGACCTTCCTTTATTTTAGGCATTCTGAGCATTTGATAGACCTTCGGGCTCATCCATTTCTTACAGAGGCCAAATAGTCTATCTAGGCTCTTTATGCAAAGGGTCCTGATGACCCCTAAAGGGTATGTGTGTATATACCCACTCCTCAGGAAGCAATAATAAAAAGCCCTAAAAAACATCAATAAGTACTTGTACGTAAAGTGCTATTTCATATCAACAAATTTAATATTTCTAAAACAAAACATGTATGTTGTTCAGTGTATATTGTACACATATGTATGTATTTATATGTGTTATACCATACCCACATACCATATACCATGAAACACCAGCAAAAAATCGCTTAAAATTCATAATACCAGCATTCCTTTTCGATCATTATTTACTTTCTTTTTCTGTGAGTGTGTTGTTAGGAAAATATGCTGTGGCGTGTTCCAATGTCGCTGCGGTCTTTTTTTTAACTTTCTCTCTTTGAATAAAGAAACATGTTTTATCAATAAATTGTGTGTAGGAGAAGCTGAAAAGAAAGCAAAAAATAAAAGGCTATTAAAATTGAGTCGGCTGGCCGGCATCGTTGTTGCTATTTAGAATGAAATGAATTTGAGGAATTTCATAATTGCTGGTATTAATGTTTGAGTAAGGCAAAGGGTTGTGAAAGTAAAAATGCCGGCATGCCACTATTCGTTTAGAGCGACATACGAATAACTCCGTAATAAACTTCCGTTATTTGCATTGAAATTGCACTAAATTCTGTACGGTAATAGAAAGCAGCACTAGGTATGCACATATGTATGTATGTATATGAGAAAACATGTATAAACATATGTATATGTATTAGGGTAATCCAGAATTTTTTTCCTCGGAACCATGCTCAAGCGTTTCGTTTAGACGCCAAAATAAGTCTCTGAAAATATGAGCAGGAAAATTTGTTTTTTTCTTACTTCTGATTTGTATATTTAACGAACTATACGTTGTTTTGTAAAGATCTTGGAGTATTTTTGTAGAGAATTGCAGGAATGGCGAAATCGACTTTGACCGAGCTGACTCATTGAAAAATGACTTCAGCCCTTTTTTGTTGAACGTTCAATTCTTAAATACTGAAATACCTTTACAGCACAGCGTATCGTTCGTTAAATATAAAAGTCGGTAAAAAAATAAACAGTGTTTCATGTATTACTCTTATGGAAAATCGAAAATTAATTATTAATACTAAGGGATCATATTTTCTGAGACTTATCTTGGCGTCTAAACGAAACTTTTGAGCATGGTTCTGAGGGGGAAGAAATTACTTTTTTTTTCTGAATCACCCTAATATGTGCTACAAAAGAAGGAAAGTGGTATGACCAGCATGCCAACGCAATGGAGGCCAACTGACCAATTTAATACAAGCTAGCGCTCTGGTGAACGCCCACAACCACAGCCATAATGGCATCCAGCTAAACAACAGCAAATAAAGCCTCGTCAAAGTGGATTTCAGGATATTTAACATTTGCATACAAATAGCGCAGTCAGGAATAGATGCAGTAAAATTATGATTTAACGTTTGGCGAATACGACACACGCAGGCCAATGCGACTGTAGTGGTGGTGGTGCTCGTGTCGACTCTACGAATTCCGGAGAATTAGATAAACTGAAAGCGAATAGCGGAAAATGTGCAGCAGAACAAGTAATGCCATTCAGAAATGTATTTTTCCTACTACAATCTCTACCAGAATACTTCAAAATCTACAAATATTTAGCGATATTTTTTTTTCTCCCTCTTTTGATATCAGCAATATTTTTTACTAATGCTTAGCATACAGGGAATTAAGTTTTGCCTGTGCCTTTTGCACGAAATTAAATTTATTTATGACTTGTCAATATTTTTAGCACATAATACCATACATTTTTTAAATTCTAAATTTTTAGGGGATGTTTGCGATGTGTTCTCTGTATGCATGCCACTTAAACCTACCGAAATTCCTTTTAAAATATCAGGAGGCAATATCCTACCAAATTTATAGAAAAGGCCAAATAACGGCAACACTGAGCAGAACTACAATGTAGTGGTTTACTAAATCAGTGGCCCAGTGTCAACTTCGAGTGTGGAGGAGTGCAGACTCGGTAATGAAGTTGAACCCCTTTAGGGGGCAGGATGCCGTGCAAAACGCCAAAGTTGCTGAAAATGTTAGCGCTCACAAACCCACACCAGTGGTAAGCATTAGTGCCGGTGGAAACTAACAAATCCGGTGGCAAAAAGAAAAAAGTAACTAAATAACTTACGTTAAATAAACAAATACAAAATACGTATTTGTACTTACGGGCGGCAGCAGAGCAGGACGAACGGCTAATAGGCTTGCGCTGCGCTGCATTGGACTGAAATTATTCACTGCCGCATGCAAATTGGCAATTAAGAATTCAGTCATTCGCCCTTTACTGCCGCACTCTTTGTTTGTGGCTTTGGGAGCGTGAAAATGCTGGTCGCCACTGGAAATTAGGTGGTTTTTGCAATATTATACTATGCAATATTTGTTTTAAGCATTTCTTTCTACGCTTTATTTTATGCATGTTTATATCCGGCTAACTTACCTTATAGGGACAATCGCTAGTTCTTGTGCATGGTTCGTTTAAGCACATTCAGAATAACGATTAATCAGTTCGTGATACATATGTACATATTTACGGTGACCATATTTATGGCAGCCGAATACGGGACAAAAAATAATTTAGCTTTTTTTCACAAAAACTAGAGGATTTTAAAACCTTCTTCAATGTTCCTAGATTTATTAGCCCTGAAGCAGCATCTTTATATGGCATCTATTTTTCGATTCGATCTTTTGTGAAAGATGGCACATAGCTATTCAGTTGTAACATCACACATTTGTCGAATATTTTGCCATAACTTTGTACTTTGTGCTCAGGATAATTTATCCGCAAAATTTGTTACAAACATTCAAACGCAGGAAAACATGATACAAATAGCCGACTACTTTTGAAGCACCAGTGGTATTCAACGGATTATTTTCAGACTCGGATTGCGATCAAGCACAATGCAGTGAGTAGCATCCGGAACGAGCTGAATTGCAAACCGAACCGTCGAAGGGTTCCACTTCCCTTCCATCTTTGAGAACTTCTTTACTTCTACAACAATCTCATTGTAGCCTTATTTGGAGTTTCTCATGCTGAACATACAATCCTTGATACAATCAGCAAAATGTTTTTTGCCGTAGTTTCGCCTAATGAATATATTCTCCCTTCACAAAATTTGAAAATTGCCGCCACACCACGGCACATTGGACAAGTAATTGTACCCGAGAAAAAACAGCAAGCTGTGCGCATTTCCTTGTTGGTTTTGGAATCCATATACGTAAACAAAGTTTGAAATTTTAGAGAAAATTTGAAATATAAATGACAATTTAAAGGCGAATTTCTCGACAAATGTAAAATCAGCTGTTCTACTGCTGCTACCTGTTAAATATGCTTTGCGCACCACAGAATATTCAACGCTAAATGCGGTGAAAACAAAACCTTTGAAAAGCTTAATACTAGTGAAATTTCTTTTATAGTTTGAACACCAATCATTAAAGGTTGCTATAGAGCTCAAGGCGAGCGTGAGCGTGAACGTT